GGGGCGGAAACAGGTGCCTTGCCGGAGTGACCTTTCCGAGGCCGGCTTTTTAATGTAACGAGTTTGCGGCTTATCTGAAGGCCACCCTCATCAGGAGCCGCGGCGCCCGAGCACAACATGGAGGAGAAGTAATTACAGGGGCCGGAGGAGGAATTAAAAAGGGGTGTGCGTGCGCGTGTGTGTGTGTTCGGGGAGGCCAAAGCCAAAAAAGGAAATGGGGGGGCTGGCTATGGAAAGAGGTAACTGGGGCCGTGTCGGGTGCAGCATCCAAAAAAGCAGCAGGGGACCTTCTCTCCACCCCCCCCCCTTTGAGCCCTTCTCAGCTGGCACAGCTACCCATTTTTTTTTTAAATTCACTTTATGTCTGTCCTTTCCACCCACGCCGCCCTCACCTCCCCCTCCCTGCTGCCCATCTGCTTTTTCCTGCCCTTTTTTAATTATTAGCTAAATAAATGTCTTTTCCAATCAAGCCAAAAGAGCATCAAAGGAAAACAGGAAAGGCCAGTTCAGCTTGGGAAGGGAGGCGGCCGGACACGGATCCTCTCCCTGCTTCCATCTTCACGTCTCTAAACCCGTTGCATGGTGAGGGGCTATCGTTTTACTGGAATGGGGGGGGCAGGCACCCCCAAGGCACAGAAATAACAAGGCAAAAGTAGCAGAATTCACTTCAGAGGAAGGGCACGAGGGCCTCACGAAGCCACGTTTCAAAAGTAAGGTCAATGATCAGGAGCAAAGCTTTCATTATATAGCCAGTCCCATTTTCTAGTTACTTTTAGTTACATTCCGCAAGTACAACTAAGTTACTTTTCTAGTTACAACTAGCTACTTTTCTAGCAGCCCATTTTCTAGTTTTGTTTTTTTAAAAACCCAGTCGGTCATATTTTCCAACTACTCTTTGGTCACAAATAGGGCTTTTCACGTTTGGTTAATCAATCCTGAGTAGCTGTTGCTGCTTCTTGTTGTTGTTGTTTTTAAAAGCAAAACTCAGGAAGTAAAAATCACCAAAAGGGTTTTCTCCAAAACAACATAACGAGCAAGGATAACCAATGACTTCTTAAGTGACACAATGAAGGAAGGGACATGGGGGAAACCGAGGCAGCTGCCTCCTCCTGCTCCTCCTCCTGCATCCAACCCTGGATGTCCATCTGGGCCAGTATTTCCTGGCTCTGACTGGCAGCAGGAGTCCTTTCCAGCCCCAGCTGGTATTCCCTGCCACTTTCCCTCGCGGCTCATCCCCACCCAGCTCTTCTCTAGACCCAATTCTGTCCAGCTCCCGCATTCCAACGAGACCAGCTGCGTTTGGGGTGGAAAAAGGGTGGAGCAGGTGCAAATTGCTTTTCAAAGAGTTGGGCTCTGCACCAAACCCACCCTGAATGCACTAACTTCCCCGCTTCTCAAGAGGTTGAAAAGCCTCCCTCCGGAGGGTCCGGTTGTCGCTATAAAAGACAATAAGGCGAGCCAATCTGGAAGGCAGAGGGAAAAGAGGAAGGCTGGATAAGAGACGGAGAGATCCAAGCAAAAAGCCCCAAGAGGAGCCATCCATAACAGGACCTTTGCGAGCTTGCTCACTCCTTGGGTTGCCCTAAGTCAGATCCAGCCTGACAGCACCAACCAGGCGGACGTAGCAGCAGTAAGACCTTTAAACCACCAGATGCTGCGCCGTGCAGGCCATATTCTTTCGAACTCGGCCCCAAGATGCAGCCCCTCCAAAGCATCCTTGAATTGGAACTGAGTGCTCGGGATGAGAGAAGACCCTCCCCCCCCTCCTCTAAACGGAGGGCTCTTTTACACACCACCCGAAGCAGGGCCTGCCCCATCGCTCCCTGGCCTGCCCCTGTCCTCTACCCCATGGGAAAGGCAGATGTCCCGTTTCTCAGAAACAGGACCCAAGGCCACCTCGAACATCACACCACAGCTTCAGGGAAACCCCTCCCGCCTTCCCTCTCCAGCTGCAAAACAGACAGCCCTAATTTTCTGAAGCACCCTCTGAATAATTAATCCCCATCCAGAACCGTTAGGGCTATTGACAGCTTTCGCTCATGTGAATGCAGCCATAATTAACTCAAGTTCACAGGCCTGGTACTCACACTTGCGTGGCTCCAGGGACTTGCTCGGGCACGCCAGGTGCTGGCTGGGCGGGTTCTGCGTTCGCTGGAGGCAGGCCAACATGGCTGGCAGCGTCGCGGGGCTCGGGCGGCGTCACTCCAGAATGCACTGCAAAGGACACAAGGAAAGGATCACGTCAACCTCCGCTGGTAACCACACAGGTCTCTTCCAGCATCGTTAAAACAAGGAGGAGGGACAGGAGTGCTGTTCTCCTGATCCCTAGGGATTTGAGCATTAAATGGGCCAAGACCCAATGGGTTGGCAGGCATAGCGCTGTTTCGCAATAGCGCTGCATCACAAAAGGGAAAAACACAGAATACCACTGCTGGTTGCAGAATTCGGTGGCGGAAAACCAAAGCCGTCCATTACTGAAAAGAAGAAAGAAAAGACATTTCTGAGCCTCGTGACGGCAAAGCGACTCTCGAAAATGCAACCCTGACAACAACTGAAATCTCAGAGGCTCAGAGGTTGCTGAATAATGCGGTTAGTGGCCTTCTCGGGCCCTCCCAAGGCTAACAAAACGAGAATAGATTATGCAAAACAGCAAACCCAGCCGCTGAGTACATTAGACAAATAAAGAAATATTATACAAAGTTCTCTAATTTGCATAAATCATACAGGGAACGGGACGCAGTCCTCTCCCCCTCCCTTTTTGTGTGTTGCTGAATCGATAAGAGTGGGCGCCGCGCTATTATCCTGCCCTGGAACACCACGGAAAGGCATCTTTTAATTCAAGGGCACAGCGGAAAATGTCAACAAGGCCACAACTGCTTATGCAAAATCAGTTGCTTTCCTTGCCAGCCCCTCAAAGCCAGACACACAAACTACAAGTGAAAAGTCGACACAAGACAGAACATCTGTATTTTTTTCCACTCGCCAAGCCCTTCCCAAAAGGCAACTGTTCCTGGTTTGCCCGAGTTTCAGAAAACAGGATCGCGTGTTGAGGGGAGGCTGGCCTGTCAAGCAGGCACAGATCATGCCCTGGAATCTCCCTGCGAGGTAGACACCGACACCCCAGCCCTCTCCGCTCTCCCGCGGGCCAGAGCGAAGCGTCAAAGACCCCTTGCTATCAAGCGCACCCCGAGCGTTCAGCTGCCATGTCTCCGACAGCTACAGCAATCTTGGTGGCAAAAATTGAGGCGAGGGGGGGGAAGAGGGCAGAGCCACCGTTGCGCCATGCGCCGCCTCCTTCTCCTGGGACTGCAGCGTACGGCATAACTTATGCTTAATTCCACCCGCCCAGCTTCCCTCTCTCTGGCTCCACGGCCACTTCCAGAACAGTCGCGCGGCTGTAGCTGGGGCCAAGAAGAAGAAGAAAAAGAAACGCACAAGGCGCAGCCGGCGCCGCCTTCGGACAGGAGGTTTCTGTTCCATTCCACTCCCATGCTGAAATTTGCCGACAGCTGCTTGTCAAGACCGATACCATCATATCACGCGTACGCATATACATACACCTCCACTGCTCTCAAGGAGGACAGGCCGTGTGGAAGCAGGAGGTCGTGGAAACCACTCGGGCTCCCCACGCACAGCGCGTCTTCGAGCCAAGGTTCTCCAATCAAGAACGGCGCCTTCCTGGCCTCGAAAAAAAAAAGCACGGGGTGTCTCCCTGGCTCAGGATGGAAACCCAGCTGGATCAGACCATCTTGAGGCGCAAGACACGGATCTGCGCCTCTCTCACAACCCACTGCAAGGAGAAAGGGCGCCTCGCTGCCAGAATTTGGGGCATTTGCAACGTTCCGGAGGTTTTCCGGGAAACTCAAGTGCCCACGAAGCTGTTGTGCGCGTTTGAAATGCAAACAGCTGAAAGGTAGACAACCAGAAAAGGGGGGGGGG